AGCTATCTCGCCGTTTTTCACCTTGCACGCGCATTTCCCGTACACGACACGCTTCTTTTCAATGTTTGTTTCACACCGCGGAACAATTTTATACAGCAAGATGCGTCCCGCATTATAAGCGCGCGTTTGCAACAACGACTACATCGCCGAATTAAAACTTCACAACGGACTTTATTTGTATGCGCATACAAGCGATGATAAAACACGGACGAAAAAGATGCATTTATTTCGCGAAATATGTTAATAACGTAGCATTAAAGTTACATATTACTCTATAATTACGACGCGCATTGCGCGATTTTCCCGAGAAGTCAACGAAACTTCAGCTGTCATTTTTTTCTCCCCCTCTTTGTATGATTTTTCAACTTTTATTTAATCTTTTCGGACGCGATTAAGGCCGTTTAAACAGCTGTTTTAATTTTTAATCTCGCTTGAGAGCAACGGGTCGTTATCGATTAGACAAGACCACACGGTCCGCCGTCAGATTACGCGATAACGATTGGTCCTGACTGGGGTGGCCGGGGGAGGAGAGAACACTCGCTCGACCTTTCTTTTACTGGGGCGCTGGGATTTTCCCGCGTCGATTGCGTTGTCATTTCGTTACCCATTGTGTCGGAGGCCTTTCGCAGGGAATTCCTTTTTGTTCGAAAGTTCATCTTCCTTTGCTCTGCGACACTCGAAATCACGAATTTCGGCTTCCAATACTTTCGCAATTCATCTTTCGAATTTTTTAGAAATGTACACAAAGCACACAGAAATATAAAAATTCTAGAGATTTATTTGATGTCAAAAAATGTTGCATGTGATGATGAAATGTGTGATCACAATTTCAAATCGATGAAATTAAAATTCTTTAATGCGTGTATTAAATTAATTAAATGATAACATTTTTAAATATTCTTGTTGTTTAATTTGTTATTTCAAAGTTATTTAATTGTAATATAACACAATCTAATAGTTCGCGAATACATTTTAATGCACCTTACGATATGTTCGATAAACGTTGCGTTTCTCTTGCCAAATGCCAGTTTAAAAATAGATAAAATTAGATAAAAGAAAGAAATTTAACGATAATAGATTTACAGAAAATTAAGCGGTAATAGGCCAATATTTTTGTAATTATTATCAAACGATACTCGAGAAGAATGAAGAGGGAGAAATCAAACAACACGAAACGTACGTTGGACAAAGAAAAAGAGACCAGGATTAAATGGTGCGGGGGATGAGTGGGTTAAAGAGAGGAGGGAGAAGTATTGCATCTGGTTGGTTCGTACCAACGTGGGATAGTCGTCGAAGAGTAGAAAAGAGAATTGGGTCAGCCGGCTTGGAGGGCACTTCAGGTGTAGGTATCTATCTTCCTGCCTAGCGGGGCCACCTTGTCATATTCTTTCTCTCTCTCTCTCTCTCCTCCCCCTTTTCCGTTTATTCGAGAGAGGCTGCAGCGTCGAAGGTAAAACCTATGACAAACTATCGGCCGCATTAAAACGGAGAATGAAGGAGACGTATGTTCGATGCGGCAATCGCAGCCTCCATCCGCGCGAGAACCAATCATGTGGAAGATTTCAAGATATCTTTTGTGTTTGCCGTTTGGAAAGGAAAAAAATGAGAGGGGAGGAGAAGTACTATCTTACGCTCGATACATGAAAGATTGTTGTGATTATATGTAAATTTTCTTTAAAAGAGATTGTATCACAAAATGATGAGATTACTAGAATATACGATATTATTATTTTTATGCAATTTTTTGACACATGGCTATTGAATATTGAGACTATAAGTGTAATAATACATTTCAGAATATTGGAACTTTTATTATAATTTATATAATCGTTGAGTAACATCATTATCTCTCCGCTCTCGTGTCCTTTCGCGTATCCTTTATTGCGCCTTTGTGTATTTCCGCATCTACCATCCCGGTTATTCCTCCCGCTGTCCTACTAACTCTCCTGACCATCCTCGTCGCCACATCATGTCATTACCGACGAGTATCCTAGCGGTGAATATTCTAGCAGCGATATGACAGAAGGGTCGGAAATGAATATCCACTATATATCGCGAAAATATTTTTTGTATGACTATTGAGAAGGGGTCGACCGTTTCGACCAATCTGGAGATTCGTCTTCGATGGTCTCCTTTGTAAAAAAAAAAAAAAAAAAGAAAAAGAAAAAACATATCGGTCCTTTTTGATATGCAATCCTGATGAAAAAAATCTCCGCGCAAATTGGCGATTGTTTGCAGATTAAAAAGTACGGTGCATTTTTAATTTAAATTACAATAGATACCAAAAATTTGAATACTAAAGCATTTCAAAGGTATACCGTCAGAATTTTAATCTAATTAATTTATTCTAATTTAGTTGTGATAAAATGCTCGTGTTATTTATATTTCTCGCAACACGTAGAATATCTTTATGTTTATGGCGAGTCGAGGATTCGCGCTCATTATTCGCTACAGCCGAAGAACTGCATCTCGAACGCATTTTCAACGAATCATACATATATATGATACTCGATAAGTCCAATGTGTGCATCGTCTAGTTGAATATCTCTCAAGAATAGCCATCAATGTCCTTTGTTACGTCGACTGTTCGGGCGATGCTTTCGAGTTTTGAATTGATTTTTTTCGATCGAATCTCCAACAATACGCTCGCAAACGACACCGTTGCATAATTGGATCCGCGTTTCTCTCGCGAAATCTCATGGAAATATCCGTTTATGGACGAAAGATACATAACACTCGATTAGTAACACGATTTTAACGTAAATTTTTTAAGCATTTTTCGCTGCTTTTAGAAGCGCAAACCCTTGAATATCTCACTCTTGAACGCGTTTTAAGTGATATTTTCAACGAGATAAATTACGTATAATCCGGAAACGAAGTAAAGTAAAATATTTAAAAAGTTGGATATTAGAATTATTTATTATACTAGCTTTTAAGATGGTGCGCAAGACTCCCTCTCTCTCTCAATATATAAAGCTTTAAGCTTTGGTTATCGCAAATGTCATTATTTTGAAATGTGTTGTAAAGGATATTTGCGACGAAGAGAATTAAAATTCCATATCTAATCCAACGAGAAAGCGAAATAAAATATTTAAAACGTTAGATATATTTCTGGACATATTATTTATATAACTAGCTCTCAAAATGGTGCATGAGAGACGCTCCCTTGAGAAGGGTGGAGGGGATAAGGGGCACGAGCTTTAAGCCTTGTATATTAAGGTTATTTATAAATCTGAATCTGTGTGTATGTGTGTGACCCGGAACTTTGCTTACTACAATACAGCTGCGTTTCTGTCTCGGTAGAGTTTACAATGCGGAACGTTTTCCCAGCAGAGAGAAGCGACGTTCCAACAGCCTCTCGCGATGCTTTTGACATCTACTATCTTTTTTCCGAGCGCTACACTGCGAATTTAATAAACTCCCCTCGAGAAACGACGCAAAAGGGCCCGAGTCTACCGGGTGTTTCGAGAACGATATTTCTATCTCCGCGCATAATCTTCTCATTTATTTGCGCTTCCCGTAGTAGTGAAAAATTAATTGCGCCAATCGAGGTGCGCTATTAGGCTCGTTTATGCCGGGTAAAGGGTTCATCCGATGATTAATCGTTTACGGCTCGTTGAAAATCAAAAGATCCCGATAAACGGATGATTAAATTCGCGTCGACGACATATTTTATCGTGGATCAAGTTTTCTATGCCTGATAAGCAGAGTGATCCATTAGACACAGGATCTCTCTCTCTCTTTCTTTCTTTCTTTCTTTCTTTTTTTCTTTCTTTCTTTCTTTCTACAAATATATCCCTCGAACTGGAAAATATAAAGAAAGTCTTTAGAATTGGATAACTTTGCAAGGTGAGCGCGTATTATGCAAAGAGTTTCTTTTCCAAAGCTATTTTTTTGTCATTTTCAAAGCTAAAAGGCTATTAATTCAGATGCTTGTTCCTTACTCGATCAAACAATTACAATTATACATGGATTTAATTTTCGATTATGTGCATCCAATTCCAAATGTCTGTTTGTATCTTCGAATTCCCGGGGCAGTTCAATTACTTTACATTTAACGATGCGCGATGAGAAAAGATTACGTGGAGTTGGTATGTAATTATAGCACGCTTTCGAAAGGATGCACTAGAGCGACCGTCATGTTTTACAGACGGCTCCATGTAGGTCAGACACTGACCCGCTTTATTGCCTATTTCAACCTCACGGGTTGACCCCGGAGATTTCTTGATATTTGACAAGTAGTCTTCGAAAAGCCTGAGACGCTCGTAAACCGTCAGTCTGTCCCGCAAGAGACGGCTAATTTAGATAGACAGATAGATCGGCATCGATGTCTTGTCTCTCTTTCTTTCTCTCTCTTGTCTTTTGCCGTCGGCTTTTATTTTAAAAACAGATCTGACCTATATCCGTGTCATCTGATCGGGAACGACGCAATGGAATCATCTTTGCACTGATTTTTATTCAAGCAGTGCGATCGGAATGTCAAGTCTCGCCGCGATTGTATTTTCGATAAAGCTCGCGATTTTTATCTCGATAGTTATGTACTTAAAAAATATTCTTAAAAGTTTAAAAGTTCCACGATTATAATAGACAGTTATTCTGCGTATAATCTCTTTGTCAACTGATAATTTGTAAATAAAATTTTGCTTTGTACGCAAAAATGTATATAGGAATGACTACAAATTTAAAATCAACTCATATATGGCGTTCATTAATTACACAACATTCTATAATTATAACAAATCAAGAATACGAGAAATGTATTAATTGATATTTGAGTTATGTTATTGCCAGTTCGATAAAAATTTATATTTGATTGTAAAAATATTAAAGTATATTTATCAAATATTGTAATAAGAATAAATTTGGCTCAACTTTTGGCTTCTTTTTTTCTCGGAAGATTCCATTAATAACTGATTCAAAATACATCGCAAAACACTATAAAATTTACAGTTACAAAACTAGAAATTTTACTAATCAGGACACGACGATTTTGATTGCAGGAGGCGTATAGGAAATGGGTGTGCAGCTCCCTGGTGCCTTACTTTGCTCACGGGGGACCGATGGACGCGGAAACCCCGGGGGGCAGCCGGACCGGCACCAGACTAAGGCCCTGCCGATCCTTCTGCCAGTCCGTGGAGCAACGTTGCCCCTACTTACTTCCGGGCGATCGTGCCCCCGCGTACCCCACGCAATACGCCGGCGAACCCACCTTTCTTTGCGGAGGTAAAAAAAGAAGGGAAAAGATAGAAAGCTAATTGAAAAGAAAAGAACACAATCGTCGTTGCGAAGTTATCGTGTTTGATTCAGTTCAGTTGTTCTCTCTCTTTTGACGAATCTTGAAGAAAGGGTAAAACTATTCGTTGGCACCCTACTTGCTTCGCACATATTTGCGAAGTGATGCGAGATGCACGTATCGATATCCGCCATGCCGAATCAGTTCTGTTCTTTTGTTTGCGCGACTACATTCATTTTACTTAATTAAGGGATATAAATTTGCATGATGATGCAGAAGCACATAAACAACCGTCGCGCGCGGTGAAAGCTCCGCGAAACAATGCGAGGCTCGATGAATTTATGTTTGCAGCCGTTTAAATTGTTATTGTCACACACCATAATGTGACCAATGATATATCAGGCTTGCGTAATTTCCCATAAATAACATAACGGGTAATATATGCATTTTTTCCATTTTTTTTTTTTTCATTCTTTCGCGTCTGCGTCTCTGTCTGACATTTCTGTCTTTTTCTACTAGCATGATGCGCTTCACTGTCAACCTCGTTGATTCGATAATCTCGACTCTTTACCCGGATTAAAAATATGATAAATAAAGAAAGATATTTAAAATATAGTTTTTTTACAAATTAATATAATTAACGATATTACTCATGTAAATATGACAATTATTAATTATCGTTGAAGAAGAAAAAAACGCGTGTAATGCAACGATTTACGAATATGTTTTTCTTTCTGCGAGAGAAATTGACCGTGTAATTTTATACGATGTCGGGAGAATTTCCCCTCAGTTTATATCGTCGTATGGAGCGTAAAGGGTTGATATTACCGAGCGCATGGGCGAATGTCCGAACCGTCGAATATCTCGCCATTATCCTCTCTTTTTTTTTTCTCGTCGCGCGGGGATCGTAAACGGCAGAGGAGTGCCGCGTCACTTTTGGGTATAAACCGCGTTAAATGGGACGCGTGTCGCGCGGTTATTGGAAGACCGGACGCTTTATCGAGCATTCCTTTTGTCCCTTTACACGGCTCGCCCACCGGTACCCCAAGATCGTCCGATATAATCCCGACTCGAATGCAATTCAACTCTTCACTACTCGCTGTCGCATTTCCGTAATGAAATCTCGGAAAAATGTTTCTTCCTCTCGTCATTTATACCATCTCTTTGCAACTCGACGGATTTAGAACGCGGTATTTAAGATGGTATAAATGCCTAGCTGCGAGAGAAGTAATTATAAATATGAAAAAGTGTACACTTTAAAAGAAAAAGGGAGATGAGAAAGTACGCAAAATGAAATAGAATAGAGAATAAAGTTTAGTCGATTGAATATTTTTTTATTAAATACTTGCAATGTTGGTCATATAGTGGATCTAATTTACAAATATAATAGATTAGTAATTTGGTGATATTTTTAATGATTAATAGTTTATTTTAATGGTTTATTTTTGTAAGGATTGTATTCCAATTGAATGTTAATGAGAACTGTTCTTGAAAATATTGCTCTCGAATTAATTGATGTTGAATTTGTCTCTACAGAAAATCTAATGAATCGAATTAGCAATTACGTACTGACTAATTTGTCTTTAATCAACTAGACTCGGATTCCCTTATGTGACAAGACTGCTGCGTTGGAAGTAATCGAATGCACCGACATATAGAGAAACCGTTGAACTTTACGGAAGTGCAACTTTTTTATGCGAAAGAATTTACGATCTTTTGATTTTACGATGCATTCCGTAAACCCTCTTCCCTTGAAAGAAAATATCGAGAAATGAATACAACTCGCCAAGCTTTGTGCGTTTTCTCCGAAATACGCGCTGCTCTCTATCTTTCCTTTTTCCGACGAATTTTTTCCGGTCGATGGAAAAGCGACGATCGTCCGCGTTCGATTGTCCGTGCATGAGATCGTTGGAAAACGCAATGATTTCAGACCCGAACATCCCCGAGACCGGCGAGCAGGCCGCGAGGGCGTTGCACAACAGCAATGACAACGAGTGCTGTTTCCACGTGTGCGCCGAGGACGCACCAATATCGGGTATCTGCGCCAATTGTGAAGAACCGTGGAAGAATGGCAGATACGACCCCTCGACGGCTCCCCAGTGCGACACTGCCGCCCCTCAGTCTGGTCCTACCGGTAAGTTTGACAGGTCTCGTCTTGACGATTAAAATTAACGTTTAATAAAAAATTTGACAGAATAAAGGATTTTGAAAGAGTAAAATTTTCGTTTTGAAAAAAATAAAATTTGAGATGCTTTACAACATTTTTATTTTATTTATACAAACCGTGGAAATATTTAAATTCACGAATATATTTTTCATTAAAAGCTCGCGAGAATAAAATCTTTCCTTTTTGGATAATACATTTTGAACGCTGTTGTAAACTTGATATTCGAAAAGATTGGAGAACGCGAGTTTTTCTTCTATTCAGGATTGATCCTCGGATTGATCCTGTCGTCTTAATTGGCGATCGACATCTTTCTGGCCGCAGATCAGCAGTATCCGGGCTCGCAGGCGGGCCAACCGGAAGCGGTCACGGACCGCGAGCCCGCCGACGACGGCCAGGAAACAAGCACCGCATCTTCCTCGTCCAGCACCCCGGCATCTTCGTCGACCACCACCACCGACAAACAGGGCACGTTGTTTTGCGGCAGCGGCCGCATCGGCTCGATACCAAGCGCGTCCTCGCCCGGTCGATCAAGCCCGTCGATCGTCCTCCAGCTCTTCTGGCTCTGCTCGGTCCTAATTTCCCTCCCTGCGAACGCGCTGCAATACAATCTCGCGTCCTCCTGGAGCCCCTTCGGCTTTTTTCGGTTGATCGGTTCCGGCCTGCCGGGCGCGTTCGTCTTGAGAAGGACCTTCAACGATCTTCGCGCTTCCGCTTTCGATCCACGCTCGGCCGGGATCTACCGACACGCCGTCGTGCGGTGTCTCCTGTTCATCCTCTGGATGCCCAGACGGGCGGTGACGAAATGCCGTCGTCGCGGATGGTGGTGGTGGAGGTCCTGGAGGAGGTCCAGCAGCCGGCACTTTCGCTGGAAACTTCCACGTCGCGCCAGCGGCGTCGCATCCTGGCGATCGATCCTGCGCGACGCGTCGACCTCGTCGATCCTCGTGCTGTTCCTCAAGTTCGCGGAGAAGTGTCGGTGTCGCGATTGGTGGTGGTTGTGGCGCCGGTGGCGGAAGTGCGGGTCGACGGATGGACAGGACGCGGGACTCGTCCGGAGAAAACGTTCTACGACCGTTCACGGGACGCGTCGTCGAGGACACCGGCGAGGCAGGGGTCTCAGCGGAATTTTCGAGACGGACGTCGCGAGTTTGGCCAAAGCGACGTCCAGGAAGGACCCGCCATAGAGAGGCGAAGTTCGCTTTCCTGGATACGCAGGATCGTACGGGTTTTTTTCTATTTTCGGTATCTCCGTGAGAGGTCCTCCCTCGCGGAGTACCAGTACTCGAGAAGTACACAGGATCGATCGAAGCGAGATTCGATCGAGGACAGACCGATGATAAACGGAACGTCGCGTCGAGCACAACGCAAGAAGACACGAAGGATTAGAGGATGTTCTCTAAGGATGTTGCACGGGTAGAAAGAACACCAACACCACGAGGAGCAGAGCGAGAGAGGGTAGCAAAGGCGAAAAAAGGAGGATCAAGCGGAGGAGCGCGGGACGGTCACGTGGACAATTCAATTCCGCAGATTGGAGCAAAAGGGAGAGAAAAGGGAGAACAACAAAGAACAACAACAACATCAACCACAAAAACAACAAGAACAACCGAGAACGAAGGAAACGTAACGTCTAGCGCTAATAATAATGATAATAATACAATAATAATGAATAAAACAAAATAAAATAATAAATAATGAATAATAATAGTTAATAATAATGATAATGATGAAATAATATAATGAAGATTAAATAATGAAGTATAAACGATATAAATATATAAATATATTATATATAAAGAGAAAAACGATTGAAAAGAGTAACGTTAAAGTAAACGATAGAATAATAACGATACGATTATTATTACACATTAAATTACGTTACACACAGAGAGAAAGAATGAGAATGAGCGTGAGAATGAGAGAAAGAGAGATAGAGAGAGAGAGAGAGAGAGAGAGAGAGAGAGAGAGAGAGAGAGAGAGAGAGAGAGAGAGAGAGAGTGAGTGAGAGAAAGAGGGAGAACAAGAGAGAGAGAGAGAGAGAGAGAGAGAGAGAGAGAGAGAGGGTGAAAAAAAGAGAAGAGAGAAAAGATGTAAAAGTCGACAAAGATAGACACACAGGTACACAAAATAACACATACATATACAGAGGAGCATAAGTCGTTAAATTTTAACGAGGTAGCATTAAAAAGAAAAAAAAAACCGTAGATAGATAGTTTCTTCGCGGCGAAAGAACGGTCAAGGGAGGTCTCTTGAACGCGCTAAGTAGGAGGCTGACGTATTCTTGTATAGTCGGTGTAAAGAGCCTGCTGGAGGGAGGGGAAGTAAAAACGCGTGGCACGGGATGATAAATAAGCACGGCGTTATCGAGATATAATATGTGTTCGTTTAGACATTACCGTAAATAATAACCGTAAATATAAAACATAGAGAACTGTAATGAGAAAGAGAGCTGAGAGTCGAATTGGAGAGGGTGCGTGTATGCGTGTGTGCGAGTGACAGGAGGAGAAAGAGAGAAAGAGAGAGAATGATGAAAGAAAAAACGTGAGGATGAGAACGTGTTGGACGACGCGCGCTCCACGAGAGTCACGTGGGTGATTTACCGAGATGGAAACCGAGATCCGGGGAGGGAGGAAGAATTTTTAGAGTCGAGTTTTTTTTCCCTTCGTCGCGTGTCGCGAAAACGCGAGATTCCGAGGAAACTCTTTGGCTCTCGTTCCGCATTTCGATCGGACGCGACGCGTTGCGTTCGATTATCGAGATCGGCCATGTGGAAGGCAAGTGTCGTGGACGGTTGCGTGGTGGTCGGTCGCGTTGAAATCACGCTGCTGATTTCGCTTCGAGCGGTGAAGATGTCTTCGATTCTTTCTAGGCTTGCCATGATTCTTAAACGTCATCCTGTCTCGGTTTTTCCCTTCGAATTTTACGCGACAAGTTCATTAAGTTTCGAGTTCGTATCGATCCGCGCTTTCTCCCTTTACCTGTTACACTCCTGTTCTCCATTTCATTCTTTTCGTTTTCCCGTTATTGGTTTTCTTTGATTTTTGTATCCTTTTTTTTTTTTTTTTTTTTTTTTTTTTTTTTTTTTTTTTTTTTTTTTTTTTTTTTTTTTTTTTTTTTTTTTTTTTTTTTTTTTTTTTTTTTTTTTTTTTTTTTTTTTTTTTTTTTTTTTTTTTTTTTTTTTTTTTTTTTTTTTTTTTTTTTTTTTTTTTTTTTTTTTTTTTTTTTTTTTTTTTTTTTTTTTTTTTTTTTTTTTTTTTTTTTTTTTTTTTTTTTTTTTTTTTTTTTTTTTTTTTTTTTTTTTTTTTTTTTTTTTTTTTTTTTTTTTTTTTTTTTTTTTTTTTTTTTTTTTTTTTTTTTTTTTTTTTTTTTTTTTTTTTTTTTTTTTTTTTTTTTTTTTTTTTTTTTTTTTTTTTTTTTTTTTTTTTTTTTTTTTTTTTTTTTTTTTTTTTTTTTTTTTTTTTTTTTTTTTTTTTTTTTTTTTTTTTTTTTTTTTTTTTTTTTTTTTTTTTTTTTTTTTTTTTTTTTTTTTTTTTTTTTTTTTTTTTTTTTTTTTTTTTTTTTTTTTTTTTTTTTTTTTTTTTTTTTTTTTTTTTTTTTTAATAGGAGAAATCTTTTTGTGGAAGATTGCGCGCGCTTTTATTCGTAGCTTCGGAGATCTTTTGGAATGGAATATCTTGTGCAGATAAGATCGAAGTCGATTGCGAGTCGATTTTGGGGTAGAGACAATAAGAATTTTAATTACATTAGTGGAAATTCTAAATAAATGCGAAATGAAAGTCAGAAGTGCGAAGGTTTAGCTACTTTTTAGCAATACGAAAGAATAAAATCCTACGAATCTCCATCAAACGGAAGATGTGAACAAAGAAGCGCGGGAAATAAAAGTACGTGGCGTTAAAGCTATGTAAACAGAGAAAAAAGGCATCGCAGAGATACGACAGATGAATTGACAAAAGAACGCGAACGACGCGCGAATAACGGCAGGGTATATTAACCAAAGGAAATTTGAATCTCAAGGGGAGCGGATCTCGTTCTCTCTGTTTGTGTAATAAAAGACTTGGTATAACCGAATTTTCCGAAAACAGGAAAAAGAAAACAGCGCACGCACGCACATACACACACATACATATACATATTCGTGCGCGCGTCCACTATCTTCGATGAAAAATAAAAAGCGGGACAAGAGAGAATGTCCTCGATCACGTAAAATAAACCGCTGAGCAAGAAGAAGGTGTTTTTGATCACGTGAAATAAGAAGCAGAACAAAGTCTTCGATCACGTCAAGTTAAACGCAGAAGCAGAAGAGGACGAAGAGGGATGAAGACAGCAGGAAGTATTTATAGGAGGAAGAGAAGATCACACGATACGCACAAATTCGCCCACCGCCTAAAGAAATCGTGCTGTTACTTGTTTGTGTTGTTTCTCATTGTTGAACCGAGTGATGCCACGCGAGGGCGGAACACTGACAGAAAAGAAAAAAAAAAAGACAGCCTCTTATAAGAAATGTATCTATATATAATATCTATCTGCCATCACACACACACACACACATACACGGAAAAAAACCGGGGTGCGGCGGTTCGATTTAGCGGCTTGTCGTCGCCCCGATCTCTTAGAAAGACACGTGCACATTCAAACATACATCTACACGAACACGAATAGACTGTTCACGCGCAAGTCGTTCCCGTTAGTGCGATTGCATTGCGCGAAAGACGACGGTGAAGGAAATCGTATCTTGCGCGAAATCGTACACCTGTTCCAGTCGGTGCGACCAGGTGATTCGACTCGAGAAATAACGTCGCGACGCCGACGCCTCTTTCTAGTATGACGAGAGGGAGGTAACCACCTCGGCTCGCTTCTTTCTCTCTTTTTCTCTCTGTCGGATTTTTCACCGTATTTCCTCTCTCTCTCTCTCTCTTTTTTGATCGTAATTTTGTGGAGATCAGTGAAAATTGGTCGAGTTTCTTTTAGTTTCACACTGAAAAATGTGTGATCTAATATGCATTAAAAATATGCTTACGTAAATATATATGCTACATTTGTATAATTATAAATAAATTATATTAGGTGTAGCGCTATAAAATTGTTACTAGAGTTAATATACACATACACACATCACACGTTTAATATTTAATATATTTATCTACCAACTGTAGCATATTTTATCAGACTTGTCATGTCATGTCTGTTATTTTCTTAAGAATTTCATTCTGAAGTCAAAATTGAAAAGCTTCTCGTTGCGATTGTTGTTTAATACCTCCCAGGTTGGGAAGTTGAACGAAAAGTTTAACTTTGAGATGAACGAACGGACGTTTCGCAATCTCGCGTTAATAATTAATACCGAGGAAATTGTTCGACGCGGATGTAAACGCGGCCTAATTACGCCGAAGGGGGCGAAGCTCCGGAGAGCATAATTTTGCAATCAAGTTCAATCGATGCGAAAGGAACGCGGGGTCGAGGGGTGGACGGGAAAGAAAAACGGGCGCCTCCGTGCTGAGTCAGAAGTGCGCGAGTCGCGCTTTGATTAATCGTCGCCGAATCCGTTTATAATCTGTTACGCCGCGTCGCGGAGAGACGTCCATTGTCGGTCCAAAACAACCCGCTCGCGCGGCGAATCTTAATTTGGCGAATAATTCGACGAGAGACATTGGAAGAGTCCAACTAACAAGAAAATCGAATCCTTAGCCCTAAACTTGGCAATTGCGAGATGCATCTCCCTTGTTTACTCTACTCGAGCAGTTTCTAAGTTTTGGAATTATTTTCTCGGAACTCTCGAAATCTTCTTGGCATGCCTCTTATAATTTCTTTATACTTCTATATACTCTTGTGCGTGTAATATATATATATTATAGTATAATTTTAATATAATTATATTATATTTATAATATTTTCTCTTACGATATACAGTATGCAAAACTACTTCTTTTTTTCCAAATTTAAGATAAATTAAAGCGGTTATTCAAACTCCTCCGACATTTGTATCAGATATAGATAAATTTTTAATTTCTATTATCTCAAAAAACATGAAAGAAAATTAAATGACGATTTGGAAATTCCGGGAACGCAGCTGCGGTGTTAGTATGTGTTTTATGCGCATCTATATTCATATCGATGTAAGTGCATCACGCGAGCGCGGGGGAGGAGAAATTGTGGCAGGGTGAGTTACGATCGTCCATCTCGATCGACCGTTTGCTATTTACTCGGTCTAGCGGGAATGCTAAAGTGTTCTCGCTAGAATCGTCGAGAAATAGTGAATAGATAACGCGCGTTGTGTAGGAGAAAATACGTGGCGCGAATATAATTGGAGAATAAATGGATGCCTTGCGTAAATAAAGTGTAGAAAAATGTTTGCGGCATAAATTGACGAATATAATTCAGTTGTATGTGTCAAGCTTAGAATTTTCTTCGATAAAGTCCCCTTGTTTCAAAGAAACATACTTTATAGTAGAAATTGAAAAGTAAAAGAACACTCTTTAATCGTGACAGAAATTTCTCGAGTTAAGAAGCGCATTTCGTCTAATCGATTACAATGTCTGACATCTGCGTGATAAGAACCGGGAAGGAAAACGGGAGGAAAAAGCGACAATACACGAGAGGGTAAATAGCAAACAGAGGAAGGGCAGAGTCATCACTGCAGAAATATAGAAGGAAGAAGAGAGCGGTGGAGGTAGGGGAGTAGACAGAAAGAGAAAAGAGAGAACGATCGTCGTCATCATTGTAATTGCAGGGAATCGTGCAAAAGAATAGGGTGTGTTCATTGCACATCACAAAGCAAAAAGAGAAAGAGAGAGAAAAAGAGAAGAGAGAACGAGAAAAAAGAGAGAGACGTTTGGCTTCGCGCGTGTGTTAACTGTATTGTTAAACATTGTCTAATATATGATTGTTACCAATTTACACTTATAAGATAGGAACATGGACATTACAGAGGTTTAATCA